CTGAAGCACTGGACGAAAAAACGTTCCGTGATAGTGAAATATCTAGGCACTATTGTTCAGCAGTGGTATGAGTCATGTTGGCTAGGTTTCACTTTTTGCACGTTCTTCAATCAATAAAATTATTCATTTTAAGCGTAAAATTTAGAATTTGTTCGCCATTAATTACGATAATTTGGGAAAGTCCGAAAAATGTATCTTGATGTGGTATCCCTGTGGTACTCTGAGTCTGATAGAAAGAATGAACCAAAGCCGAAGAGGATTGTGGGTTTTGTAACATGACACTCGTACTCGAGCAAGCGGCGTGGGGTTGTGTATTTAGTTGTGAAATTCTGTTTCTTGGCGTTTTTTTGCGGATTTGAATGACTTTCATGGCCAAAAAAAGCCTTGGCGTTAAAGGTAAGTGTATTTTTTGTCTTAGCTTTGCCATAAGACCGTAACTGAACCCTGTATTTATCTGCAATGGCTCTTGAAGTGGCGTTGTTCGGTTCACACTAAATTCTTTTAAAAATGTTTTCCAAGTAAAAACTTTAATCGTAAATTAATGTCCTGGGAGTAGGTGTGTGGGTCTTGAATTGAGATAACTTATTTGCAGCCTATTTGACTGATTTTAAGAGTTCTTGTGTGGAATAAGCGAACTTGTTTTTTAAAAGATCTTGTTCTCGCTCAGGCAGCCCAAGCTGGTGAGTGGGCTGCACATAAGCTTATATAACACTCTTAAAGCTGTTTTTACACGTACCCTGCTATGCAGGGGGTACGTGTAGTAAAATGCTGACACTTTCTTGGTTTTTATTTTTTCACAATGTCGAAAGTTTGGCTTCGGTACATCTTCGTAGCCAATCACATTGTGAATTATATATCCGGTAGCCAATCACATTACGTTGTGTATTCCGAACGCTATAGCCTGTCGATAATCCCGTTCGCAACATTTCCAACTCGTTCTGCACAATGTTTTATCCGCCATTTTGATGAATATTGTCTCTACTAACGAATATGGAACAGAACATGAAGGTTTACGACCAAAATCTGGAACTCATTACTTGTCTGGGTGTTCGGACCAAGGGTATGTTGAATTGTGATGACGAGGAGATCTCACTACAGAGATCAACACGCTTACTACTCGTGAAGCAACGGCAACGATATAGTGATTGGGTTCCAATGATTGAATATCAATACAACTCTTTAGAAAATGCTTATTAATTCCATGGCTATTCAAACATCTGCAATAGATATGTCGAGTTTTAATGTAGATGTGCAAAAATATTGTGTTACTATCATATCAAAAGTTAATAAAGCGTCACGTTGTAACCAAATCATGCCTAGTTATATATCTCCGGGTATATCTGACCTTAAAATTATACTGCAGAATCACAAAGGCAGTTACAGCTGAAATTTTAAGAGCCACCACATATAAGCTTATCGCAAAAATCACATATATCTTGGCAAGGCTCGATGGATCAAATCATTTCTTTATTCTGTATCAGTAAGGTTTTAATAAGGCCTCATTTACTAATGATCTCACAACATCATGCACAACAAAGGGTACGTGTCAACCCTGCATACAGGGTCTAGTTGT